TTGTTATAACCGGACCTAACAACCCAAGAGGGTAGAACAATTTTGCTATCTGAGAGAGAATAGACCGTTTTGACACAACCATTGAAATATCTGATGTATTTACCTTATAGAAAATTGAATCCTTTTGAGAATTCCAATTAATTCCAAGAGTTTTTATCGACGAATTACGATCTAGCGACAAATGACTATCAGGTGAAGCACTTGAATCTTTCGGAATTAGAGAAGGGTTGTTTGAAGCCCATTTTCTTAGATTAAATCCACCCTTTTTCAGTAATGTTGTAATATCTTTTTGAAGAAACTTAGCATTTTCATACGATTCTGTTCCTGTTAACATGTCGTCAACATAAAAATCATTCAATACAATATTAAATGAAATAGGATGTTCTGATTTTTCGTCTATTGCCAACTGATGTAAGGCACGAATTGCGAGAAAGGGCGCACATGAAGTGCCGTACGTAACGGTATTTAGAACCAAGTCTTTAACAGAATCATTAGTGTTGTTTCGAAATAAAATTCTTTGATACAATGCGTCATCTGGATGTACAAGTACTTGTCTGTACATTTTTTCGATATCAGCTGTGAGAACATATGTATGTGTACGAAACCTAATCAATAACGAAAACAAATTATCTTGAATTGTTGCTCCAATCATTAAACAATCATTTAATGAGATTCCAGTTAAAGTTTTTAACGAACCACCAAACACGACACGTAAAATAGTAGTTAGACTTTTTTCCTTTAATACCGGGTGATGAGGAAAATAAAATCCGGAAAACAAACAATCTTTATTTCTTAATTCTCTTAAATGTTTTAAATCCTCATATTCCTTTAAAAATTTACAATATTTTGATTTTAAATCCGAATCTTTTTCGAAACGTTTTTCAAGATAAATTAATCGTTTTAAAGCTAGAGATCGAGATTCACCTAATAATTTTTTCTTTTCGTTAAAGGGTAACCTAACCATATATTGACCATTCGATAAACGTTCAGTATAAGTTTTAAAATGATTTTCACATTTTTGCTCTTCTTTTGACAAGAGCTTTTTTGTTGGAATCTCTTCGATCTCCCAAAATTTTGTCAAAGAATTATCAATATGTTGATAATTTCTAACAAGATGACATTGTAATTTATTTTGAAATGAAGTAGTTTTCATTTCACCAGCAATAATCCAACCGAGTTGAGTCTTTTGCAAAATGACATCTGGTTGATTTTTTTAAAGAAATTTGACCCACACACATTAATTTATAAAACAATTGTACACCGAGAAGCATGTCAATTTCTGACGTTTTATAAAAATTTGGATCAGCGAGAACAATGTTGTTTGGAATTTCTAATTGAGCTCGATTGATTGAGGTTGAAGGCATAGGTTTCGTTATTTCATCTAAAATAAGAAAATCAAGATTTTTAGAATAATTGCTGAATTTTGATTTAAGAAGCGCTGAAACACTATGCTTTATTTCAGTGGAATTGTTTTCCACGCAAGATATTGAAACATCTACTGAACGATGAGGCAAATTTAAAAAAGTAGCAACACTATTTGTTACAAAATTTGCTTGTGAACCAGCATCTAACAATACACGACAAGTTTTAGATTTACCTTAATCGTTAATTAATTCAACTAAGGCTGTAGCTAAGAGACACTCGGAAGATGTATTAGTGTGTACATTGGCAACAATGACATTTTGAGTATTTGTTTCTACACTTTCAGATCCTTCGCTAGATTGCTTTTGAAAGTGAAGCAGCGTATTATGCATTTTTTGGCATTTTCTGCAGGGAAAACCTTTACAATCTAACACGCGATGTTTAGGCCGCAAACAATTTGTACAAAGAGAGGCCTTTTTAGCTGCTTCAAATCGAGCCGAAGGTGATAACTTTTTAAATTCATCGCATTTGTAAATAAAATGATTTTTCTGACAATAGACACAAGGATTTTGAGATGTTTGAGTTGAAAGAGCCACGTGACGGGAGGATAATTGTTTTTTATCGAACGTTCCCTTTGATTTCAAATCCTTTTGACAAGATTTTCCATCTTCAAATTGAGCACGACGTTGCAAAAATGCGAGCAAATCTTTTAATGAGGGATTAATTGATTCGCAGCTTGAATCTTCCCATTTTTCGCGTAAAAATGAATTCAATTTTTGAATAAGTATTTCAATTAGGATAGTATTCCATTGAGATACTGGTTCTTTTAATGCTTCAAGAGCTCTTACATGTTTTTGAATACTATCTAAAAATGAGCGAACAAAAAATTCTTTCGAGATACATGGTAAATTTAGTAATGCGCGAACGTGAGTTTGACGAATAATTTTTCTATTATCATATCTATCTTTTAACAAGTTTCAAGCAACCTTGTAATTTTCGGACGATAATTCGAGAGATTCTAAGACTTCTGCAGCTTCGTCTTTCAAACAACCCTTTAGATGATATAATTTTTTAATTTCTGGAATATCTTTATTGTTATCGATTAATGATTTAAAAAGATCATGAAATCCTAACCAGGCTTCATATGATCCGCTGAAAGTTGGAAGATTTATTCGTGGCAGAGTTTTCTTTGAAAATTGAGATGATTCAATTAAAAGGTCATTTCTGAGACTTTGATGTGAGCCTGAAGTACTTGAATCACGCGAATTATGATTTTGCAATAATGACATTGCTTTCCCGTACGCGCGATAATATTTCTCCTCATATTCAGTACGATTAGTATCATGAGTGGGATCTTCCTCAAGTAAATCTAATTCTGAACAAAGAGTTTCGAAAATTGCAAATTCTTTATCAATGTCTGACTTTCATTTTTCTAGAATGAGAAAGTCGCTAGCATCCTCATAATCTTCAACAAAATTACAAAAATTAGTTATTTTTCTCTTTACATTTTTTAAATTGACCTTCACTTGTTTTAACCGATCTTTAGACATCTTGTGATTTTACTACAATTACAACTATCTCGAGCAATTAGAAAAATATATAATTGATGGCACAGGAAAATGAAGAAAGGATATTGATGGTTCAAATAACTTGCCTTTACTTGACGTTGAAATCTTGATGATTTTGACAGGTACTGCAAATAGTTCCTAGTACTTGGCACTTCACTTGTGATTAACAGCACATTATCAACAGTTCACATTATCCAAATGATACTTGTTCAATATTGAATTGTTAGATCAGAGAGCACCACTACCGTTTCAGTAGTTTACCATGGTTAATGTCACTAGTAAGAATCTTTTTTCAACCTTGAATAACAAGATTTACACAATGTCACTGCAATGTTCCAATATATCAACAATTTGTAACGTGTTGATAAAGAATTTTAATTGCTAAAAAGCACGACGAAAATGAATGGATCTGAGCGAGTAACACTCGTGATCAACACAAAACGACAATTTTATAGGTTATAAATCAATATTTGATCTTAACACTTCACGATTAACTATCAATATTCAAATTTTCAACAATTATTCACTGGATGTTTGTAATGACAATATCCGGCTCGAAGGACCATGTTAATTCCGCACGTTTGTTTTAACGAACGGTTTCTGAACTTAATTTATTCAGAAAAAGTTGATAATTATTTTGGTATTTTTGAAGTAAAACGAAACAATTGTTTAAATAATTATCTTTAATTATAAATTTGAAATTGAAATGTTACATTAAATTGAAGTGTTTACAATTGTTTGGAAATAGATGTAGCGAGATCTATTTCTTTCGACAGTACAAGTATATCTGATCGTAGCTTCTTAAACAGGTAAAAGGGTGATGTGTAAAATCAAGACCGAAAATTTGGGGATGAACAATTTGCAATTTGATTGGAGCTAATTTTTGGAGTGGGTTGGAGTAGGAAAGTGGAGGCGTGGGCAAGGGTGACAATGCAAAAAGTAATAAAAAGCTTAAGTTGACGATTGGGATCGTGGGACTGATGGGTCAGGAAAAATGGTAGTGCAATAAACCATTTGCTGCAGATTATTTACTCATTGAGTAAATTGCTTTCGACATTTAGAGTTTTTAAAGAAAATACAATTTAGAAAAAAAGCAGCTGTCGGTTATAATAATATTTTTCCCAAAACGTGTTAAATTTTGAAAATAAGGGATTAACTCAATTTGTAGTAAATTTCTAAAAGATATACGTTTTACAATTTTGCAGTCCAATACTGAACAGGGATTTTACTCTAATTTTTTTATATTTATTTTGTTTTTTTATACACATTTCTGTTTTTTATAAAATATTCATATATTAATAAAAAATTAAATTATACTCCTGTCTCTACATTGCTCCAAACTTGAAAATTTTCATAATTATATTTTTTCGTTTTGAGACATTAGAATTCAAAAAGTGTTAAAAAATGTCTGTTTATCTATCGGCGATAAATTATAAAAATTGAAAATAAATAATAAATCTAAATTTACAGGCAAAGACCATTACTTTTGATTTTTAATATTTTTTTTATTTTTATGTTTTCGGGTTTAATTCTTTAATGAAGTTTGCATAAATATTTTTTGTAATTAATTTTTAAATCATCATCATCATTAAATCTATAAAATAATTATAAAATAAATATTTTCTAAATAAAAAAAATATTTATAAAAAATAATATTTGTTCGATGATTGCATAATAGTAATGGTATTAAATGGACCAAACTGAGTGAAATACAATTTTCAAAATTTTCATGCTTCTTTCATGCATGCATGAATATTTTGATTAAAGGAAGTTTTGAAGCCAATATTGCATGTCAGTCACAGATTTGATTCTATTCTGATGTTCACCAAATATGAGAATCGACATAAAAATGTTCATAGAACGTGAAGAAGACTTTTTAATCAAAGCGCGTTATATAGTTGATAGACAGTTTGTTAATTTTCTTACTGTTGAAAATCTCGTATTTTGCATGTTACCATTTTTCAATTATATCAATGTCATGAAAATAAACATTTTTTCTGATTTATCTATTTTTCTTCTTTATTTATATGAATATATTTAGTTATTATCCGGTTTTTCATTCTGTTTCAGTTTTCCATTGTCACCTTTGACCTTGATCTACGACTATGTTTAACGTAAGTTATGAACTTTAATATTTTATTTATAATTTAAGTACTACTTAATTATTACTATTATGAATATTTAAAATAATAATTATGTCAATGAAGAGAAAATATCGAACTTACCGATCAAATGACATCTATAAAACCTAATTCAAACCCATAATCAAAATTTTTAACAACACGCAGAAAAATCTGATTGAAAATTGTGGAGTTCAGCGCTAGTAACTTAGATTTTATTCCCAAACTTGTCTACCTTTGCGGCTACAGGATAGAAAACAGGGAAATGAATCGTAAAAGGTTTAAAGCACGTCAGTAGGCTTTTCGTTCTTATGCACACTTATACGCGGAACAAAGCAGTCTGAACACATTGATAGGCGCTTCTGGGCGGAGTCCAAGGCAAGTCTAGTGCCGAGTCCCATACTGAATATAATGTGAGCAGATCTTCTAGTGACCTACATTATTACTTATATTTGTCAAAATATTTACTTTTATTGGAATATTCAATTTGAAACTAAATATAAAATCTAAAAATGAAACAACTGAAAATATTAGAATACTTTGAATTTTATAAAACTTCTCACTGGGATTTTTAATATTCTTTAGATATTTAAACGTAGAATCTCTTTAAAAATTAAATACAAGTCCTTTGCCATTTTTACTAAAATGATCTGTTTTAAAACGTTTAAAGAAAGAATTTTTATTTAAATATCTACAGATTAAATAAAAATCCCAATGCGAAGATTTTTAAAATTCAAAGTATTCTCTATGTTTTTAAATATTATTTCATTTTAGACTTTACATTTAGTTGCCTAAATTGAACATTACAATAAAATATAATAATAATTAGGCATTGCATAACCGGCTAAAGACCAAATAAACACACACCTAACCTCAAAATGAGATCAAACATTTCACATAGATATTCTTCTACATTCATTTGTAACACTAGAACTTTATTACAAAACTGCACTCAATATTATATTTAAAACTAAAATTTTTATTAATTAAAACAATTAATACACTACGAACTACACCGAGACTTCCATGTATATCAAAAACGAAGAAACTGAACAAACGCGGGCGCAGGCGCGCCACAGAGTTTCGCATTCCTAAAAACTGTTTGGGAATGAATCTAAGGACTCTCGCACAGAACAGTCCCCGTTTAAGTGAGCGTTGATACAAAGTTTGTATCAATTGAGTAGCTGAATTAAAATAAATGCAAATAATAATAATTGTAGGGGAATGTAGTCAAGGTTGGTCTACTGTCTAGGTAGGCCACTCGCGTTTTTTTGTCAAGTTCACTAGCGCCACCTACGCGCATATTTGTCGAAGCTTGTCTTAGTGAAACCTAACTTTTTGTTCAATTACATTTTCGGAAAATCAAAAATTGTGTTTTCTGTGACGTCGGTACAAAAAAATCTCAAAAAAAGTTTTGTGCATAATGTGAAAAACCATTAATAAAAGATAAAAAACAAATTGAATCGTCAAGGCAAGTATGCAGAAAATTTGTGGGACTCATGGTTGAAAGGAAAACAAAGTAAAAAATCGAATCCCGAAACGTATTTCTTTTTGTTTACAACAATTCGGTAATGTTACTTTCTCTCAAGGTCGGCCACTATGTGTTTAAAATGCGCAAAGATGAGGACGATCTACTTCATTTGCAAAAACTGCAATTCTGTATAACTCATAATATAATTGATCATCTTATTAATATTTTTATTTAATTTTATTAATATTTTAGTGCAAAATTTTTTTTTATTTATATTTATTTTTTTATATTGTTTATTTTTATTATTTTGTTATTTCATTAAGTTACAAACTGTAAACAATAAAGAATCAATTTTCCGTAACTCCAAACATGTTATTTTATTTTTTAAAGATTAATGCCCTTTGAATTTTAAACATGGCCGACCTTGACTGTAATGGCCAACCTGGACTACAAATTTTTTTTTTAAATCTTTATAACTTTTTCATTTTTAAACCTGTCAATTTACATTGTACAGAAAAAATGTTCCTATTAAACAGGACTTTCCAACCATATACTTCAATTGTCCAAATTCATTTTTAAAAAAAAGTTATAAACAAAAGTCAAAAAGGTGGCCGACCTAGACTATGTTCCCCTACCTAATTCTTTTCACCTTTGAATTAATTACGGAATCTGATTGCACTTGTTGAAAGAAGACTATTGGCGTTTATTAAGATATTTAGCATTGATCTTCATTGAAAATCGTTACTAAACTTTTTAGGATAGAGAACCAAAATTTAATATTTCTTCCTATGATAATACAAATCATTCAAATTGTTTTATATTCAGTCCGAAATCTGAATTTTCATTTTTCTCTGTGAAATGAAAATTCTTTCCACCTATATACATTAGGGTGGTTCTTATTTTACAAAAGTTGGAATTTAATTAAATCAATTAATTTTTCGAAAAATTATTTCAAATTAATTTATTTCCAATTTTTATGTGTATTTCAAATAAAAACAATTTCCTGACAAGTTTACTTTTTACTGTTTATTTTTTAAAGTTTGCATTTTTTTTAACTGTTACAAACACTTGCATTGTATATATGGTGTATGTATTTAACCGTTATATGGAATCAGTTATTTTTGTAATTCACATCACAATATAAAAACAGAAAATGCTTTCTCATGTAGATAAACACACGAAGTTTTTGTTTTTGACTTTGTTATATGTATAAAAATTCAAATATTGATGTTCTTTTTTTGAAAAGATGTGAAATTTTTAACTTTCTCATTGTACAGCAATTGTTAGTTTTATACATTTTTTCTTCACCCATTTTAAATATAAAATATTTTATCATTTTTATACATTTTAAGTTTTACCTAGTTATTGTATATAGTTTCTCGTTAAAAGTTCTCATTCTTGAGCATAAAAAATGGAAATTATGTTAGAGGAAAAATTATTGGACTTTCCTTTTTGGTAATAAGAAAATATTTTTTGTACGCTGTAAAAAGAGTAAATTTATTTTACCTTAAAAAGAACATATATACCTGTATATTTTTCTTACATTAAGAAAATATTCAACAAAAAATAAAATGATTTATAGAAAATTTTTTCAATTATTCATTAAATTTCTCCTGCTTCTTTAAAATATTTGTATTTTTTTCAAAGTTATAGTGATAAATCATTTATCAATGAAATAATAATATAAATTTTATAAATCCTTGTTCACTTAATATAAACATGTACAGGATATACAAGATTAGTGAATGAAAATGATATTAAAGAAAATATTTTCTGTAACTTTTGAAAGGTGAAAGACCTGGTAATATTTTTCCCTTTTAACTCATTTGATTCTTTGAAGCCATTCAGTTTTTCAATAAAAAAATCTTATTCAAAGCTATTGTATGAAAGGTTCAATGATGCAAGACGGAATTTATTGTATCGCTTTGACTACTACTATAAGCGATTGTTTCTGTGATTTTATAAATCCACAGTATTATGTTATTTACAATTTCAATTTTTTCTACTTCTTAAAATATTTCACGTTCAGGAATGTTTGGAAATTATTATTTATTTTAATTATTTACTTTATTATTATTGTTATAATTATTATTAATTATTTTATCCTTAATTTATAAATTTTATTATATAAACATTAATTTTTTTAATATTACAAAATCTCCTAGTTTTATTTTCGTTTTCATTTTTCATTTAATTTGTTTTATGTAATCATGTAAATTAATATAAAATAATGAAAGTTCTATTATTTATTATTATTGTTGGCTGAGTTTTATGCCCTCATACCATATCTCGTTAGTACAAGTATATTAAACAATACGTTTCACTTAAATAACGCTATTTGTTCACATGAGATAATTATATTTATTTAATTTCAACTTGATTAATAAATTGAGTTTGAAGTAAATTGATATCAGCATATTCAGCGCAATCAATAATTTTGATATATTTGATTCAGTTTGTTAGTATATTGTAAAATTAATTAAATTCATTTCATTAGAATATAATTTAATTAACTTTGTTTAATTTAAAAACTGTCGAATAAATTTTTTTTGTACAAATTTGAAATCACAGTTTGTAATATCAAAATGTAAACATATTTATTACGTATGTTCTGCATGAAATTAAATTGACTATTTGCATTTTAATGCTCTTCAATAATTATAATTGATAGGGAATTATACTAGTTAAATAAATTATTTAATTTGACAAATGCCGGCTAAATTTAGACCCTCTTTTAAACTTCTTTCTATTTATTTTCTGTTTATATTTTTTGTCCACCTTTTGATACTAATAGCGGCACATAATTAGATGTGTAATAGTTAGATGTTCATTATTTGCTCTTTTGACAATTTTTAGATTAAATGAAACTTAGAAGATATTATGAAGAACTTATAGAGGGCTATGCAGAGTAAAAAGTAAACTATTAATATATTTTATTAAAAATTATATTAAAGTGGAATTAAAATTTATACGTAATTTACTCTACATTATTTGTAGATGAATTTTTCTTCGAAAAAACGGAAGATAATAGTTTGTTAGATAAATTTAATGAAGTGGAGAGTAAAACAGAATAAAATAGGTGCATTGAGGGCAGCTAAACAATATAGTGATTGATCTCGACAATAAATCTTGTCACGGTGGTTCATTGCTGCATACTCTCTGGGGATGAATCTCGTGAGCTTTCACGACCGGTTTTTGAAAACCTATCTAGAAACTGATCTTCGATCGATTTAGACTGTCAGAATATTTTTGTTTTCCGGATACTTCCACCTATACGACTCTCTGAAAAATGGCGGTTGAATACGACATTTCCAATTTATAGTCCATCTTTTGCATCCTAAATTTACCATCATAACAGTCCCACATCGAAAGCTCTTTAGGATCATCTGTTCAGCTCAGTGAATTTAAATATATAAGAGACGAAATATCGCTTTAAAATGCTAATTCAATTTTTATTTATTATAAATATTTTTAAATTTACAAATTTTTATAAAAATATTATAAATATCGCTGGGAAATATTC